GTGCAAATAGACTTAGCTAATTGGCTATAAAAGTACAAATTTTCTTATTGATATTTACGTAGACTTAGCTAACAGGGTGGATTGATTTCAGTCAAATCAATTTTAAATCACCAATTGTAACCATGATTTTGATCATTAAGCAGGAAACATTTATTTTAATAATGGTTTTTATAGGGATGTATGCGACTAGTTGCTTCGGCCAGCCCCCCCACTGCCTCTATCAGGAGGAGGAGCAGGATCTGGTGCTGGGGGGAGCCGGCTTAAAAGCTGGTTCTGCCCAGCACCATCTCTGTGGGGAGAAAAGGCGGGGCGCAGCAGGGAATTGGTGGCATTTCCACCTTTGAAATATAGCAAGAGCAGACTCTTGCTGCATTTCAAAAGCAAAAGCATTGTGGGGGCCTGGGACGAGCTGGGGACTCAAACAGTCCCCTGCTGGCCCCGCGCTCCTAGTGGCGCTTTGCCTTTGAAATGTACAAGAGCCCACCCGAGCTCGTGTACATTTCAAAAGCATGGAGCGCAGGACCAGTGCTACATTTCAGAGGTGATGGAGCCCTTATTGACTAATTGAATAGTCAATGCAAATTACATTGACTATTCGATTAGTTGATTAATCTAAATTTAACATCCTTAGTTTTTTATTTGTATTTTGTTTTTCTACAAAAGGGTGGATAACCATTAAAACATGACAGTTTCCAAAAAAAGTGGCATTTACACTAATTTTGGTGTTTTTTGCTACCCAGAAGGACACACTTTATCTATACACATTTAAGAAATTAATTTTTGCTTTTAGAAGTTGCTAAATGATACGTCTTTAATTATTTTCTTGAAATTTGTGAGAAACTATTTAGACATTCAAAATCAATTAATCCTTAGAAACCACATTTAAAATTACTTTATATGTGCTGGAAAAATAAGAACTGTTTTATGAAAGTACTAGAAGATTTACCCAACATTGCTCAGGTCCTTAACTCTATTTGTTTTTGGGTTTTTTTTGGGGGGGGAGGAATGAAAATGTATGTGCTTCATTGAAATCATTGCTCTGGGATGGGGTTGGAACTAAGGGATTCTATATGTAGGCTGTCCCTGTTAGAGAGGACTACCCCAGCCGTTCCTCTCTGCAGCAGCTTGGGGCCAGGTGAGAAGCACCTCTCTCCTGGTCACTGAAGCTCCTTCCGGCACAGCTAGAGGAGGGGTGCATGTTGCCTGGTTGAGGCAGGTTCCAGTTAATCTGCCTCCCATGCTCCCCAGCCAGAGTGAAGAATGCAGCAAACTGTGCACTCTCCTTCCATTCCCTGATGAAGGGGAACAGTCAGCAATGTTGAACTATGGGGGAGGGGAGACTTCAGCCCTATCCCAACTTCCCTAAAGGGCTCCTGGGGGGTAGGAGGCTCTGGGTTTGGGCAGTCCTGGACTGGGGGAGGGAGCCAACCATCCCCTTTCATTTGCCTTGTGATTCTGTCTCTTCTGTATGGTCCCAAATGCATGGGGAGGGAGCTTGAGTCTCCCCTTCCTCCCTGCACAACCAAACCCTTATGGTAACTTAAAGCAAGGTAAGAGGAAGTTGCATACCAAATTTGGTGGTCTTGTCTCTTACTGTGTAGGAGTTCTTGAATAACTGAACTGATGGACAGAGACAGATGCGCAGATAAACTCAAATTCTTACTGTGTAGGAGTTCTTGAATAACTGAACTGATGGACAGAGACAGACAGATGCGCAGACAAACTCAAATGTACTAAACAATGAGAAGTCCTGTGGCACATTATAGTCCAACAGATTTATTGGAGCATAAGCTTTCATTGGCAATGACCCACTTTGTCACATGCATGGGCATCTGTCGAAGTGGGTCTTTGCCCACGAAAGCATATACACCAATACATCTGTTAGTAAATGTACAGTAGAGATCAAAACATTGTTTGTATTTAAAACTATCATAAATTAAACAAATGCGTTATCTGTAGCATAAATTGAACTTATTACTTCTGGTCACTGTATCATTCAAGATTTTAATACTAGCAGAGCTTGTCTTCTCATATCTATATTTTGTGAAGGTACAGGTTGGAAAAAGAAGTAGCTGTTCTACTTTACAAATTCCAATTGGTTTTTAATTGAATGATGTAGTCATTGAATTGAACTAGTTGAATAAATTGAAATGAAGATTTGATACTTAAATCGTTTACATTAAATCCAAAAAAAGAAAATTGGTAGCAAATATGTACTCGGTGCAGACTAGCCTGGTGAGAGTCATTCACTAGGTGCCTGGAACCAGTCTATGGAAGTGCTAAACCAGGTATTGACAGCAGTAACCTCATCTGCAGGGCAGAATATTTATTTCAGTTTATTCATCTTGTTCAGTTCAGTGACTGGTTCATTCAAAGTCCAGAAACCAACCAGCAAAAGTAGAAAGAACTTCATTCTTTTTAGAAATGATTAATAGGACAAAAAATTAAATTAAATTATAGTCACTGCGAAGTAAGAGCCTAAGATAATAGGAAAGGCATTGTATGTGCAGTAAGGCAGGCATTTAAATATTTAAAAATTATTATTCTGGTTGCTTTGAATATTCTCAAGTTTTCTATTTTAGCTGACCTGTCCCTTGATTTAGTATTGGCCCAGAACTAAATGCTCTTTGGAAAGCTTGTGCAAAATTCATTGTCACTTTTGAATTATGGGAGCATGAAGAAAATCTTTCGGTTTAAGAAAAAGTTCTGCTTGCTTTTATAAGATGAAGTCAAATTGTTGAAACTTCACAATTTCCCCCTCAGGCTAAATGTGGGGAGCACTTGGTAATCTCAAAGGTCTGATGTTAAAATTACATATTTGAGCATGCAGAAATAAGTTAGTATCTTAGTAGATCGTGGTGTTGAGTACATACCTTTCTGTCCATAGCAGCAGAGGAAAGTTTGCTGAAAAGCACTGTTACTCAGTACAGTTAACTCTTTCGTTCTTGCATGGCCCATTTGCATTGCCATTTGCGAGGAAGATGAAATTTTGCGTAAAAGTGGAACTAACAATATAACTAAGAGAACATGCACTTGTTTTTATCTACTGATGAAATTATAGTTCAACTTTTGCAGAAAAGTATGTTTTATCAGCAGAGGTCTAGTTTGTTTAAAGAAGTTCTGGTGTCTTGGTTCTTTGTTGTCGTGTGTATGTTTTGGTTTGTGTTGGGGGAAAGAGAAGACAGACATTTAAATGATGAAAATGTACTGTAGCATAAGATTAAAAAACTGCAAAAGTGGTAACATTGATACTGCAGCATTAGCTTGGCCTCTTTGCACAGAATGTGCACATTGTGTGTCCAAGGGCTACCTTTCAGATTGTGTTGAGGTGCCGATCTCCCGTTGATCTTTTCATGAAGTCCAAGGTCAGCTAGGGCCGTTATCATCTAGTCTGTCCGCCTGTGTGACAGGCCAGAAAACTTCCCCCAAATAATCCCTAGCGCAGAGCTTTTAGAACATTGGTGGGCAGCCTGAGGCCTATTGGGGTTCTATGTGTGGCCTGTGCCTCCCCCCCATGCCTCTCACCCTTTGGGGCCCTGCACTTACCTACTCCTTCCCCTCCCTCCCAGCGTTACCAGAGCATTGCAAACTGGCTGATTTGCGCCCCATCCCCATGCCTCTCCCTCCCAAAGTTAGGATACTGTGTTGATTCACAGTGTTCAAGCTCTGGGAGTGAGTGTGATGAGTGGGATGGGGCACAAATCAGCTGATTCATAGCACTTCAGAAATGCTGGGAGGGAGGTGGAGGAGAAGGCACAGGCATGCTCTGGGGAGGAGGCAGGGAAGGGGCTGCATGGGGACGTGAGGGAAGGAATGGAGTAGGTGCGGGGCCTGCAGCAGAGAGGAAGAGTCGAGCAGCCCCTGGCAAAATGTGAAGTGACACACACTTAAAGCCAGGGTGCGTGTGAGGTGCGTGCTTATTGCATGCAACATTGTGAGAGCCGCGTGCTTCTCTGCTCCTTTGTTACTTTTCCGGCAATTTAATTTGCCTCTAATAATGGATTGCTTTGTGTTGGAAAGACATGGTACAGAAAGAGACTCGAGCACAATATGTATTTAATCTTATTCTTGGGATCATGGTTAGTGCATGTGCCCGATTTCAATCGTGTAGCCCACTGAGGTGGAGGGCCATTCCTCATGTCCGCTCACTAGCCTTGGTTGCCCATCACTGTTTTAGAAGAACACTTCAGTGGGAGGTAGGTTCCTAGCTAAGGAAAGATTGTTCTAGAACACTGTGGCTGCGTCTAGACTGGCAAGTTTTTCCAAAAAAGCAGCTGCTTTTGTGGAAAAACTTGCCAGCTGTCTACACTCGCCGCTTGAATTTGTGCAAGAACACTGACGATCTCATGTAAGATTGTCAGAGTTCTTGCGGAAATACTATGCTGCTCCCGTTCGGGCAAAAGCCCTCTTGCGCAAATGCTTT